CCCGGATTCAACTGATTCTCCTGCCTCAGCCTCCTGAGTAGCTGGGATTACAGGCACCTGCCACCATGCCTAATTTTTGTATTTTTAGTAGAGACAGGATTTCACCGTGTTGTTCAGGCTGGTCTCAAACTCCTGACCTCAAGTGATCCACCCACATTTCTAGAAATTTTATCTGTTGTTTTTTTTTTTTTCTCTAGTTTTGAGGGAGTCTTATTCTTTCCCTGTGGATTCTCTTCCTTCTTTTTCTTTTTTCTCTGTCTTTGGTCACTCTGGACATACTTATTTTAGAGCAAGTGTTTTCAACCTGTGTGGCCCGTGGGCCAAATGTGGCCCAGGATGGCTTTGAATGCGGATCATCACGAATTCGTAAACTTTCTTAAAACATTTTGTATCTTTTTTTGTGATATATATATGTGTGTGTGTATGTGTGTATGTATATATATTATATATGTATTAGCTCATCAGCTGTCGTCAGTGTTTAGTGTATTTTATGTGTGGCCCAAGACGGCTCTTCCAGTGTGGACCAGGGAAGCCAAAAGATGGGACACCCCTGTTTGAGAGTCTCTGATGTTGTCCTGTTACCCTCAGGTGCTTGTCTGCCTCCTGTGTGTCGGCTGCTGGGGGACCATTGTTTTCAGGGTTTGGGTTGGGTGCATCCTCATCAGGGGTTGTGATTTTTATCTGTAGGAGCTCCGTGTCCTCTGGGGGGTGGGAGTGTCCTTTCTCTTTCATTTCCGGAGGCTCAGGCCGGGAGGTTTCATGGGCAGTCTCCCTCTGGGAGCAGCTTTGTGATGCTGCCTCTGCCTCGGGTGGTCCAGTTCAGCTCCCACACCCATGAGGATGAGTGGCATTAGCGACTGCACCTGGCCGAGGGGAGCTCTTTTTGGTGGCACCTGTTGGACTCTGCAGAACGTACTGATGGACAAGGTTCTATGGGTGGAAAGCCACCAGCCCAGAGTCCTCTCTGCTTTCTGGGACCCCACCCCACGCTGCGAACCCTCTTTTTCTTGCAGAGGAGGCGCTTCCTGAGAAGGAGAAGATCCTGGACAAGCTGGAACTGAGCTTGATCCACAGCAGAGGGGACGGTTCTGAACTCAGGCCAGGTCTGGGGCTCTTCTGTGTTCTCTACCTGTGCCTCATGGTCCCTGAGGGTGCCCTCTGGACACTATTCAGCCTCCCACAGTCTCCCAGGCACTGGCCCCTTGGCCCCAGGCCTGATTGGAGCTGGCAGGTGGGAGCCTGGATTCACCAGCACCTCACAGCCAGGGCTGGGGACAGACTCGCCGCTCCTGTCTCCTGAGCGCTGCTGTGCCCCAGCCGCTGAGTGAGAGGAGAGCTGGTCATAGAGCCTGGCCTGGGGGATTTGGGGCTCCGTTGGAAGCTTTGCGTACCTCTAGGCACTGGAATGTTCTGGAACAGTTGTCCTCAGATCAGCCCCCTCAGGCAGCTCTGTGTCTTTGAACTTGAGCTGTACTTTTCACAGCGCGCTCCTGTCCTGCTCCTGGGTGGTCCTTATGTGGTCGGGGAGGAGCGCTAGGGCCTGGAGCTAAGCCTCCCTGCCCAGGACAGAGAGAGGGACCGTTGGCTTGTTTAAGACCCTTCTGGGTCAGCGAGCCCCCTGAGGACAAGGGGATGTATTCTACTTGTGTCCTGGGTCCCCAGTGCTTGGCAGAGAGAGGCCCGTGGGCACTGCTTTTTGAATGGATGAAAGAACATGATCTGTCCCCGGCAGATGACACCAAGGCTGAGGAGAAGGAGCCCATTGAAACACAGCAAAATGGTGACAAAGAGGAAGATGACGAGGGGAAGAAGGAGGACAAGAAGGGGAAATTCAAGTTCATGTTCAACATCGCAGATGGGGGCTTCACAGGTATTGGGGTTGGAGGAAGGGCGGAGAGCTGAGGCTTCCTGACTGTGGGTCCCAGGAGTCTAGATAAAGTTACCCAGTGGCAATTTTATACTAGAGTGTGACTGGTTGATAGAAGTCCATTGTGTAACCTTTCTTAGCAACACTGGAACACTGGACCTCTGGGGGTGGAGGCAGTGGCAAGTAGGGAGGGAGTGGCTCTCCAAGCCTGCCTCTGTGTGAAAGCCGGGGCACTTCTCATCCTGCTCACCTTGGCTTGTTTCCCAGAGTTGCACACGTTGTGGCAGAACGAGGAGCGGGCTGCTGTGTCCTCGGGGAAAATCTACGACATCTGGCACCGGCGCCACGACTACTGGCTGCTGGCGGGCATCGTGACGTATCCTTGGCCAGGCTGGGCTGGGCAGGCACTTGCCTGTTCCTCTGTGGACCTTGGGGAGAGCCCTCTGAGGGCTCCAGGGAAGCCTTCCTTGCTCTTCCTCAATCTTCCTGGTTTCTGGTGGTGGCTAGAAATCCCTGGCATTGCTGCGTCGCCCGCTCTCCACCTCTGTCATCACAGCTTCTTCCTTGTGTGTCTGTCTGGGTCCACATTTCCCTTTTTTTTTTTTGAGATAGAGTTTCACTCTGTCGCCCAGGCTGGAGTGCAGTGGCTTGATCTCGGCTCACTGCAACTGCCGCCTCCCGTGTTCAGGTGATTCTCCTGCCTCAGCCTCC